TTTCTCTGCTAAGTGCAGCAGCCAACTGGGAGAAGTTATCAGCACAGGTGTATTTGGGGATGAGCTGTGCTTTGGTGTCTCCTTACCTCCTGCATTTTGCTGAGGAAACAGTCAATGAAATCCTGGGGGGCGCTGGGATCCAGGGAGACTTGGTGCAGCTTTATCTCCTCTGCCGCAAAGGCTTTTAAAGCATCAATTTCTTTGAATATCTTGTTGTGTGGGCCGGGCAAATAATCCAGGATGTAGGAGAACATTTGGTAAAACTGGAAGGAAAGAAACAGAAAGGTCCCCAGAGTGACCATTGCCCTAGTCTTTGTGATTAGCCAAAAGCAGGCAGGTTCAACCCCCTCAGCTAAGCGAAGGAGATGGGCTGTTTGGCTGGCCAGTTCTATACAGCAGTGGAGACCTGCTTGGTCACAGCATGAATTCTTAGAGATTTTAAATGGTTTGGGTTGGAAAGGGCATTCAAGGTCATCTAGATCCAATGACAATGCCGTGGGGTGGTAACAGCATTAAACCTTCTCTGTCTGGAAGGTATTCACTTTTCTGCATAGAGTGCTGACAGGTCCTACTGTGAAATATCACAGAATCACAAAATATCTTCCTGAGTTGGAAGGGACCCACAAGGATCATTGAGACCAACTTCCCTGTGAGGGAGGCCTCCTGCTCCCCTGGCAAAATGTCCCCACTATGAAATATCTGCTGAACATACCTGTCCCCAGCGGGAATTCATCAATTCAAATATTTTGTTTGTGTTGTTCATCAGGGACAGGAACTTCTTGTCTTTATAGTCATATCGTTTCCCAAAGACAATGGAACATATGACATTGGAGACAGCGCAGCTCAGCTTGTACGTTGGGTCGAAGGGCATTCCTGTGAGTTCAGAAAAGTTACAATCTATGAATAAGTAATGAACTAATTAAATAAAACCTACGGGTACAGTGGGTAACATGAGCTGCAGTGGACAGTGGAATTTCACAGTCTCTGAATGAAGCAGAGTGGTTCTCCAAA